GCTGTGGCTTAAGTGGTAGAATGCTAGCCTTGAGCAAAAGAAGCTCAGGGACAGCGCCAGACCCTGAGTTCAAGCCCCATAACCAACAAAACAAAACATGCACACACACACACACAACTATGATGAGCCTATTCAAGTAAATTAAAATGTCAGGTCAATTTTATAGAATAAGGTAGATTCATTATGGTTACCTTGGATTTTCCATGGCTTTGACAATTTTTCAGTCTGTATTGCTGTGTAGCAAACCCAAGATCTCTACATGTTAGGCATCAGACATTTCTACAACTGAGCTATATATATATTATATACATACATATTTATATTTGCTTTTATATATTTAAAAACCTAGAGAATAGGAAGTTGGTTGTGGGTCTTGAACTCTGGGCCTGGGCACTGTCCTTCAGCTCAAGGCGAGCACTCTACTACTTTGAGCCACAGTGCCACTTTCGGTTTTCTGAGTGGTTTATTGAAGATAAGAGTCTCATGGCCTTTCCCGCCCAGGCTGGCGTTGAACCATGATCCTCAGATCTCAGACTCCTGTGTAGCTAGGATTACAGGCATGAGCCAACTAACTGCACCCGGCTAGTATTTTAACTGTTTTATTTGTTAAAGTCAGCTTAAAAATTAAAGAGGGTTATTAGTCAGGCGACAGTGGCTCACGCCTGTAATCCTAGCTACACAGGAGTCTGAGATCTGAGGATCGTGACTCAATGCCAGCCTGGGCAGGAAAGGCCATGAGACTTATTATTTCCACTTAGCCACCAGAAAGCCAGAAGTGGCGCTATGACTCAAGTGGTAGAGCACGCGCCTTGTGCTGAAGAGCTGAGGGACAGCACCTGGGCCAAGGCCCAGGCCCAGAATTCAAGTCCCACAACCAACATTAAATAAATAAATAAATTTGAAGAGGCTGGTATAAATAGAATTAGCCCAATAAAATCTCTTTAAGTATCAGGCCAAAGATGCTGCTTAAAGAGTAGAGTACCTGCTAGTGATCACCTGCCTAGCAAGTGTAGAGCCCTGAGTTCAAACCCTAATATTGCAAAAATAATAATTTTTAAAAATTAGTGGGCTGGGCACTGGATGTGCTTGCCTGTAATTCTAGCTAGTTAGGAGGTTGAGATCTGAGGATTGTAGTTAAACAGCAAAAAGCCAAAAACAGAGGTGTGGCTCAAGCGGCAGAACACTATCCTTGAGCAGAAAAGCTCAGGGACAGCACCCAGACCCTGAGTGTAAGCCCCAATACCTGCATGTGTGTGTGTGTGTGTGTGTGCGCGCACACACACACACAGACACACACATACACATATACATATTTAGCTATCTATCTCTCTCCACTATGCACATACTTTTCCAGATTTGGTGCCTGTGAAGGTGCTTTCCTCCTTCCATCTCTGCCAAAAGAAACATTCCATATACAGAATTGATAGATATTTGACTGTTAGCTCTTCAGAATTGGGGACTGTTTGTTTGGTATATTCATTATTAGTACCTGTCATGCTAAGAGCTAAATAAACATTGAACTCAACAACATTTTGTCTATTTAAAAGGTTATGTTCAAATGGAAGATTTGTGCGTGTAGCCTACAGACTATTAAGCAAGATGGAGGCTTAAATGACAGGGTGGGATTAAGATTAATTGGGATCTGATGTTGGATTGAAGAAGGCTCAGATGGGCCTTAGACTCTTGTAGAGTGATGGACAGGAGCTTAAGAGCAATATGAACAAAAGGCAAAAAGAGTGAGAAAAAGGCCTAGAGCTGGAGTTTGTCGATTCGATCATTCAGCGTGGCTGGAATGGAGGCTCTTGGGAGTGAAGAGATAGATGGAAGTGAATAGAAGTTGAATGGCCTGGGATGTCCTGCTAAGAAGTCAGCCTCCACTTGGTGTGTGGGTAGAAGCTATCCAAAGGTTTAAATGGGAAGTCACTGAGCTGGGTTCTTCTAAAACAGTCTCTTCACAGCAGTGTACTTTGGGGATAGGACTTAATTGTGTCAGTAGGCCAGAGATGGTGGTATCTGAACCAGGCTTGTTATCCCTATTGTGTTCCCTTCAACGCCTTGCCATGCGGTTCAAGAGCCTGGAGCAAGAAGTGATTCAAGAAGAAGAGACAAGCCAGGCCCTGAGAGAGGAAGCCCAGCGGAGAGAGACTGCCCTGCAACAGCTGCGCACAGCAGTGAAGGAGGTGAGCAGCCTCCCCAAACCTGATTTCTCAGTATGCCTTCCCCATCCTTGTGCCCACAAGAGTCCAGTGTGGGACGAGTCCTTACTGAGCTTATTGAGCAGCGCCATGGCAAGGTACTTTGCTTCATCCTTTATGTTAAAGGTTCTAGGTCACCACTGCCAGGAATGTTTTTCATATTTGGGAAATCACTCTTTCTCCTTTTGTCTTCCCATAGGCACAAGTTTGTGGAATTAGGGAGGGAGGATTGTATAAGACTGAAGGAGCTAGGTATGGTGGTCCAGTACTTAGGAGGCTAAAGCAAGAGGAGTACCTCTTGCTTTAGTTGTAACAGTTTAAACCACATAGCCAGCCCCTGTCTCAGTCTCTTATCTCTTTCCCCAATAAGTTTGGTAATCCTCATGCAGTAAACAGAACTGTCAGCAGGGGGCCACCAAGTTAACTGGCCACCTGCCAGGATTGTGGCCCTGTGTAGGTGGAAGACTGAGAACTCTGCTCAGTCTTTAAAATGGAACAAGTGGGAAGAGAGTGAATTAAGTTTTCAGGAAGATGAAAGGAAGGAGACAGATGTGAATAGCTTGTCAGCATAGTAAAGCCTAAGTTCACTAAGGTGAGAAGAGCAGGATCCTTTTCAGCTTTAGATTCTGTGGTCTCTTACTTTCTTTTGCCCCATACCCAGGAACCACTAGTTACATTGTTTTCCTTGCCTCCATATTCCTCTGACAGCCTGTGATCAGGCTGGCTAGTAGCCACTTTGTCAGGGTGGCAGGGAGAGATTGAAACCAATGTCTCCTCAGATTTCACTGTTCACTTTAAGCCATCTCTAATAGCCTGGCTAACAGAGTTGGCTGAGGGACTGGCTTCAGATAGAGTTCCTATAGTTAGGAGTATATTCTCTGGTTCCTAAACAGAAACCTGGAGGCTGATGAGTCAGTGTGCTAGGGAATAGCTTCCTCTCCCATGCTGGATCCCTTTGGGCCCAGCCTACCCCCAGAGGAACTGGGTCTGATATGGGGGTGTGCAGGAAGGGTGCTAAGCCTGTTGGTAAGGGCAGGGGTGGGGAGGAGGGACATTGCCTATGACTCATACCCTCCCCTCCACTCGTTTCCACACCCATATGCACAGATAATTTGCCTCTCCCTGGGCCTGGGTTAACATACTTACCCACATGTCTGTTCAGCTCTCAGTTCAGAACCAGGACTTGATTGAGAAGAACCTAACGCTGCAGGAGCACTTGCGCCAGGCCCAGCCAGGGTGTCTACCTTCGCCAGACACATCCCAGATGGCCTTTGAGCTACACCAAGAATTGGCCAGTTGTCTTCAAGATCTGCAGGCTGTCTGTAGCATTGTGACACAGAGGGTCCAGGGCCATGACCCGAATCTTTCTCTGCTCCTGGGCATTCACTGTGAGTTCTTAGGCCAATCTGGAACCTGTGAAAGAAATGTCTTTATCCTTTCATTACCACCTAACTTTCCTATCAGTAATGTGTGAATAGGGCAAATAGGCCTTGGTGCTGCCCTCTGGGAGTTGTTTTGTTTTTTGCCAGTCCCAGGGCTTGAACTCAGGGCTTCCACACTGTCCCTGAGCTGCTTTTGCTCAAGTTCAGCACTCTTCCACTTGTGCCACAGCACCACTTCTGGCTTTTTCTGTTATGTGGTATGAGGAATTGAACCCAGGCCTTCATGCATGCTAGGCAAGCGCTCTACTGCCACATTCCCAGCACCCTCTGGGAGTTTTTTGTTTTGTTGTTTTTTTTTTTTGTCTAGTCGTGGGGCCTGAACTCTGGGCCTGGGCGCTGTCCCTCAGCTCTTCAGCTCAAGGCTAACACTCTAGCACTTGAGCCACAGCGCCACTTCTGGCTTTTTTCTTTTTGCTTATGTGGTGCTGAGGAATCGAACCCAGGGCCTCATGCATGCAAGGCAAGCGCTCTACCACTGAGCTACCTTCTCAGCGCCCCCTCTGGGAGTTTTTATGTTTCACAAAGTAGATGTTCAGTGTTTTGTAAACAGGAATCTTTTTTAAAATTTTATTTTGTTTTTCTAATTTATTGTTCTTTTAGAGTTGATTACCTTTATATATGCCAGGTATGTACGAAGTACAAAAAGCGGGCCTTAGCAAGCCACCAGCCTGCTATCCCCAGCTCCTGTTTTGGAATGTTCTGGGACTAGGATGTAAAATCACAGAGTACTTGGTTAGCGTGACTGAGGCTGTAGGTTTATTCCTTCCTCCCTCCCTGGAAATGTGGCTTAGTGGTAGAGTACTGGCCTAGCATGCAGAATCCCCGGGTTTGATTCCTCCATACCACATAAACAGAAAAAGCCAGAAGTGGCACTGTGGCCCAAGTGGTAGAGTGCTAGCCTTGAGCAAAAGAAGCTCAGGGACAGTGCCTAAGCCCTGGGTTCTAGGCCCAGGACTGGCAAAAAAATAATAACAATACTATGTCTCAAGATCATGGGCCTCTCTATACTTTCCCTCCCTAGGAAATGTCTCCCAACTGTCTTCTGACACTCTAAATGTTCTCTACAGCCACACAGTACCAAGGGACTCCTCTAGATTTGCAGAAGCCAGATGTGATCAGGAGGAAACTTGAAGAGGTTCAGCAGCTACACCGGGACATCGAAGACTTAAGGACCAATTTGTCAGACAGATATGCCCAGGACATGGGAGAAAACTGTGCCACACAGTGAGGACTGCTGAGGGTGGGGCATACCATATCCCTCAGGGAGGGCCTGGGCTTCTGAGCCTAGCTAGCAGATTCCTGCTGCTGTCTCAGAGAGCAGTCAGAGGGGAGGAAGGAGGGGTCCCCTTGCACTGACTTTGCCTTATTGGGTTGTGTTAGTTCTGTTATCTTAATTCACCTTTTGAGAGAGAGTTACTAATTAACTTTTGCAGGTTCAACTGATAAGTCCTCAGAAATTGTTCCCAGCCCTTGGCTGATATCAGGTCAACCAGCTGTTCACCTCCCCCTCTCTGTCCTCTAGGATGGATCTCCGTTCATTCCCACTCTATTACTTGAACCTGCTGCTGATGCCCCTAACTCATTTAGGGGAGATGGAAAAGGCCCAGTAGGGGTACCAACCTTTTGAGAATTCTCAAGCCCCATGTGCCAGCCTTTCTGGGAGTTGAACTGGCTCTTTGGGTTTTCTCAGGCACAGTCCTTCTGCTTCCTCCTCAGGGCTCTTGTTCTTGCAGAAGCCTCAGGGTGATCTGTTCATTAGCAAAGTACCCAGTAGGACTGGGGGCTCTGATGGTTACAGCCAGGGCTCCTTTGCCTGCCTGCCTGCCATGCCATCTGTATAGGAGTCCTCACTCTTCAGCAGCCCAACACAGCCTCTTTCCCCTTTGTTCTCAGGCCTTCCAGGTAGATCCTCTCTTGGGCTTTGAGTACAGACCTTTCTCTGTGGTTCTGGTCTTGGGCAGAATTTTCCCCCAGAGGGCCACCGGGCACTTGTCAAGCTGCTTACTCCTTCTGCCAGGGCTGTGTCAGCCCTGTGATTTGTGCCTCATGTTGGGGGAACCCTTTTCCTTTCCTGTTCTGGTCTCCTAAGGAGTCAGCTCTGAGAGTTAACTTTCAGTGTTTCCTGGAGGTTTGTTTCTCTGGGGCATTTGCTTTTGTTTTTTGTTTTTCTTGCCTGGTTTAGAAGGCATCCCACAATTGTTAATGTCTGGTTGTTGGCCAGTCCCAGGCCTCCTCTAGATCTGGCGCAAGGCTACACAGGGGCCATGTGTGTGTATGGGGAGCAAATCTGTTCTGGAGACCAGAAGCAGCCATGCCAAGACTTTTGACAAACTTTGGGCTGTTGGCAGCATCTTGGACCTCACTCCAGGACTGAATGAGCCTCCTTCTTAAGTGTTTTTACAAGTTTGTGTTTTATTTATGGAGTGACTTATCCCTTCCATTCAGAGCGGCCCCACCCAGCTGGCTATCCCCTCAGCCTCTGGGCTCCTGCCTCCTAAAAGCAGAGCTGCCTGGTTGGTCTCCACCCAGGGTTGGGAGACCTGCCACCATGCTCACGGGTATTTTTCCTTGTGAAGTTTATAAGCAGTTATTTATATGCATCTTCGTTATGTCAACTGATTTGTAATGCCTATTTTGATTACAGAATAAAAAAATTTAACAGACATTTCTGTTTCCCATAGCCTTCCATCATTCCCATACCCCTGGCTCCACCCCTTGCTTTTGGCTTGAGAGTCAGAGATTAAGTTTTCAGTCAAGTTCCAAACAGCAGCAAGAAGGAACTTTTTGGCAAATGCAATGGGGTGTTCTTATAACTCTGCCTTTTTCTTTTTTGTCAGTCCTGGGGCCTGAACTCGGCCTGGGCAGTCCCTCAGTTCTTCACCTCAAGGCTAGCGCTCTACCACTTGAGCCACAGCGCCACTTCTGGCTTTTTCTGTTTATGTGGTGCTGAGGAATCGAACCAAGGGCCTTGTGCATGCAAGACAATCACTCTACCACTGAGCCACCTTCCCAGCTCATACTCTGCCTTTTTCTGAGGACAGATGAAGACACTCATCCACACTTTGTTCTGGGCTAAGCTATCCTGAGTCACAGAGCAGGCCTCTCAGAGAGGAAGTCTGAGACCTCCGGGTTTCTGTGGCTTCTGAGGCACTGTTTGCTCAGAAGGCTTGGGTGGTTCCTGGACTGTTAGTGGTCTGGGGAAGGGGAGATATCTGAGGCTTTATGTACAACCCAGCAGGAAGCTAAGGCTCCTAAGTTGGGCAGGTTGCTGGAGTCCCCTTTGAGCCTCCTGGTTTCTTGCTGAGATGGTAGCCTTAATGTGCCAACTGAAGCACGGAGGGGGCCATCCCAAAGCCAGCTGTGGATCTTGCCTTTGCTTCCTCGCTTCTCAGAGCTATCCAACTGGCCTCTTGCCTTGGTCTCCATCTGGCTTCTGGAGGGCGTGGCCCGGCTTCCTGCCACCACCCTTGTCTTATCCTGCCCGAGCTGACTGGAGCTTTAGGGAAGTTTCCTTGCCGGCTGCCTCTGCTCCGGTATGCCTCCTTTCCAGAACCCCAAGCTAGGCTAGATGAAGGGACCTCTTCCTGCCGAGCAAGTGACAGATGCACTGGAGCCGGTGAGCCCGGGAAGCCTTTGCTGAACGTTCCTCCCGCGCCTCTCCTGCCATCTGGCCCCTCCCCACCTCCCCCGAGCCCCAGATCACCCAGGGCTGCGAGGGCGGCGGCGCGCGGCCACGACTGGGGTCCACGGCGCTAGACAACTCCCGAGAGCGTGGGGGGGGGGGTCTGGTGCGCGGGGCGGGGCCGCGGAGGCCCCGCCTCCCCGCCTGCGCAGCTCATTGGTCCTGAGGGCGGTGACTCGCGGGCGGAGCAGGAAGGAAACCGCTCCCGAGCGCAGCGGCGTCGTCTGGGCCGTGCAGCTGCCGCTCCCACCGTCTCCGGGTTTATCTGCACGTCCGCCCGCCTGCAGCATGAGCGGCTTGCGCGTCTACAGCACCTCGGTCACCGGCTCCCGTGAGGTGAGTGTGCGCCCGGGCCCGCGCCGGCGGAGAACGTGGGCCAGCTCCCGGTGCTCCAAACCCGGAGCCCGGACCCGCCCCCGCGACGGAGGCGAGGTGTGGGCAGACCTGGATCCGGGGTGGAGGCCCCCTCCGGAGCCCGCTCCCTGGGCGTCCTGGGTCCTCAGCAGCCCCGGCAAGGGCTCGGCGCCCATCCCCCACCGGGGGCCGGGCCCGCCCTCAGCACGCCCCCCTCTACTGTGTGGGCCGAGCGCCAGGCGAACTTTCCCTGACTCCTCTCACATCCCACCCCTGGTGGCCGTCTCTCTCGTCCAGGGCTACCCCAAGCCTGATCTGTCCCACTCTAACTCCCTCCCTTAGTGGCATGGGGCGAAAGCTTTGTACATGTGCCCAGGGTTCCCGCCAGAATCCATCCAAACTGCCCACTAAGCCTCCCCACCCTCTGCCCTAGATCAAGTCCCAGCAGAGTGAGGTGACCCGCATCCTGGATGGGAAGCGAATCCAGTACCAGCTAGTAGACATCTCTCAAGACAACGCCCTGCGGGATGAGATGCGAGCCCTGGCAGGCAACCCCAAGGCCACCCCACCCCAGATTGTCAACGGGGACCAGTATTGCGGGGTAGGGTCCAGGGGCTGGAGGTGGGAGTGTCGGGGTGGGGGGAGCGTTGTCAGAGGACTGGACAGAGTACGACCCCCCCCCACGCTCAAATGATCACCATCCCTCCCCCAGGACTATGAGCTCTTCGTGGAGGCTGTGGAACAGAACACGCTGCAAGAGTTCCTGAAGCTGGCCTGAGTCCCCACTCAGGAACGGCCAGTCTCCACCAGGCCACACCATCTTCTCCCCACAGACCGCACCCGGTCTGAAAGGACCTTGTGACCAACTCCCTGTCATTCCTAACCTGACCTTGGCATCCCTCCCCCAACCTAACCCAAGCCTTCCTCCCCGCTCTTTATAGCGCCCTCCCTTCCATTCCAAAGAACATTCCTTATCCACTAGTCTCAGAAATTGTCTTAAACCACAGCCCCAGTGCTGGCTGTCCCCAGCCAGGCCTTGGGGCTGCCTCCCTGCCTGGCACTGGCTGATGGACACTTCTGTTGGTTCCATTAGTCAGAGCTCTGCCAAAGGCCCCGCAGTCCCCCCTTCTGGGAGCATCCTAGAGACAATTAAATGCCCATTCCACTGGCACTGTCTGTCTGGTTGTGGCCTGGGCGTGCTGGGTCCCTGCCCTGGGTAAGGCTGCTGGTTGAAACTGTCACCTGTGTGCTGCATGCGTTTGGATCGGTGTGACACCACATGCCTGTGTGAACTAGTGGTATCTGGAGGCAGTGGCTGGGCCACCCTCTGGCTCCTATGCATGTAGTGGGGTGTCCATTTGCATGCCTGGCCGTGATTGTGGTTGTCTTCTGTGTTGGAGCAGACTGGCTTTGAGTGGGTGTGTCATGGGAGTGGGTGCTCAGCTGTGATTCTGGCAGTTTTGAGGGCATGGGTGTAGTGACAGCAGGTTTGTTTGTGCTATGGAGGAAGTAGCCCCATGAGCCTGCGGGCCTATGCCTGTCTGTGCGCAGGTATCTGCTGGCCCTGGCTGCTTAAACCTAGCTGGGGAGGACCACGCCCTCAGGAGCCTTCCTTCTCCCAAACCCTCCTCCCGGAATCCATTTAGCCCTGCTTAGGAGAAAGAGGAACCCCGAAGACAAAGATGCAGCAGCCAAGCCCGCCAGCTGGGGCTCCAGTTACAGAAGGACGGGGGACACGTGCTCCTATCGCCCCCTCCCTACCCAGCTGGGCCTCAGCCTTCCTCTGGAGACAGCCCTGCCAAGAGAGCCTTGTAGAGCTCATGGTGGCACTTTATTTGGGGCCAGAGCCTGAAACAAAGTTGGGGTTGGCCAGCTGGGTTCTGGGTGTCCGCAACAGCAATGTGGAGTTGGGCACCAGGCCTGCAGCCTGCAGTGTGAGTGCATCATCGCTGTAGACCATGGGCGGGAACGTGCTGAAGATCTCAAAGGCGGCAGCATCCATGTTCCTAGAGGGTCCAGAGGAGTGGGTCAGGCTAGGCCACGGAGGCACGGCTGTGTGTGGCCCCCAGCCCTTTCTCCCCCGTGCCCACCTGGCCTGGGCTAGCAGGGCTCGCACATCTCCCACAGTGTCCTCGGGCCGCATCATCAGGAGGAAGGCCTGCTCCCCGTTCTCAGACCTGATGCGCAGTGTGGTGAGTGGGGGCGCGGGCATGCTGGGGGTTTCCAGGCTCCTGTAGGCCAAGAACTCGTCAGGGCGCCAGTGGCCAAACTCCCTCGAGAGGAACCTCTGTGCCCTGCCCTCACCTCTGCCGCTCAGCAGCCAAAGCAGGTGTCTCCACTATGACCTCCTGGATCCGGGTAGGCAATGGACAGAAGTTCTGAAAGGTATCAGCAGAGAGCAGACAGATCCCTGGGCCCCACCTGAGTTGGCCCCTTACCCTTAGAGGGGACCCAACTTATCCTTGAGCAAGGATGGGTAAGTCCGATGAGCCAGAGGGACGGGCTGTTCTGTGTAAACTGAGGCCCAAAGAGAGGAAGTAGAAGAGGAAGAGTGCCCAGGGAGGCAAAGCCATCAATCCAGAGAAGCCTTCTCCCCAGTCCAGTCCAAGGAGCAGAGAAGGGGAGAGAAGCCCACACAGACGATGGGCAAGCTGGTGCTGGACCCAGCCTCGGGTCAGGGAGGGCTTCCCTAGGGATGACACCTGAGCTGAGACTGAAGAGCAGTCAGAGTCCTTAGAAACAGGATGGGGGCAGGGAAGTTCCCTACAGCAGGGACAAAGATCCTGAGGTCAAGAACATCCAAGAGGATGAGAAACATTTGGGAAATGGACGGCAATTCATCGTGGGAACCAAGTTGGACTGGATGAAAAAGTGAGGGGAGCGGAGGCATGGCCAGTGATGCAGAATGGGAACTTAGGGGAATCTTTCTCTTTGGGTGATTTTTTTCGTGTGTGTGTGTGTGTGTGTGTGTGTGTGTGTGTGTGTTACACACAAACCAATACTAGAGCTTAAATGCAGGGGGCCTGGGCACTGTTCCTGAGCTTTTTCTTTCAAGACTGGTATTTTACCACTTGAGACACAGTTCCACTTCTGCTTTTTGGTGATTAATTAGAGATAGTAGTGTCATGGACTTTACTGCCTGGGCTGGCTTTGAACTGTAATCCACAGATCTCATCCTCCTGAGTAGCTAGGATTATAAACATGGGCCACTGGCGTCCAGCCTCGGCCATTTCAGCAGGAAAGGCTAGTAGGGAAGCAGGGCTGGCAGGGGCAGGAATGGAGGAGGGAGGTTCAGACTGGGGGGGTGGGAGGAGGGGAAGGTGGCATGGAGAGAATGAGTGAGAGGAGGTCTGCAGAGGGCCAGACTGGACAGCATTTAGTAAGCAACATGGTGAAGGAAGCAGAGAAGTCTGCAGAGCTGTTTGGCACCTTTCTCAGGTGGCATAATGGGTAGGTCTAAGAACTGGGAGAAATCAAGGGGCCTTTTGGGGACTCAGAACTGCACCTCAAGGGCATGACCTGAGGCTGGACTCACAGTCCCCCAGTTGGACTCAAGACTTTATCCCACTTGCAATCACCCCAAGCGCTCACCTGGGCCTCCACAGATAGC